GGTCCATCCAGGTGGCAGAGCTTGATGGAAAGAGTAAGGGCGGGGCTTGAGATGCACTTCCATTTATTTGGGATGTGCACAGGGACACCTGCCCTAGACAGTGTGAGGGGCCATAGCGAGCTGGTTGCTTAGCAGAGACGGGGCGTTAGTGAACCTGTACCAGAAAGCGAGGGGACTGGGCTGCTTCTCTGGTATTGCTCTAATCACCTACCACTTGCGTAGGGCTGGATCATCACCCCTCTCTGGCAGCAGGGATGGTGTGGGACAGGCTGGCGAAAGAACGGGTTCTCCAGCGCGGTCAGCATGCAGCTCCTATTGCTGTCAGACCAGGGGAGAGGGGAAGAGAGGTGCATGTTCCTGCCTCAGGGCATGGGCACTGTTGCCCACTGTAGCGCCCACCTCCCACCCGAGTCCCCAGCTACCCACGGACCGGGGGAAGACAGGCATTCAGCTGCCTCATTTGCATGTGGGCCCAACCCAGTGGGAGGTTCCCCCCAAAGGCTATTTAGTGGGAGCTCACCCTGAGCCATGCCCACTGAATCAGGCCTCACATGCAAATTAGGCAGTAAAATTAGGCAGTCTTCCCCAAGTCATGAATTGCTCTGGGGCTTAGTGACCATGCACCTCTAGTGAGGCCTCCGGGCACATGCCCAGTGAAATTTTCCTTCAGTCACTTGGTGGAGGAGGGACTTGAACCAGGTTTGGAAACGCCTTTGGCCCCTAAAGCCCACGAGGGTTCATAGCTGAGAACTGTGAGTGGAGCTCAGTGCATCCCTGCATCCCAGATTGAGGGCTGCTCTGCACCACAATGTTAGGTTTTGAATCCCTGGTAATGACTTTTTGTGTTTCAGCACAAGCCCACACCCTACATTTGCCTCCTGCTGATGGAAGTGCCTGTTACAGAGACTCTGTAAAACTGCCTCCTCAGGCAATGCAGAGCACAGACCACCTACTTCCATCAACAGAGTGTAGGTGTAGGCACGGCATTGCCTGCATTGATTGTAACTATCCCACGATGCTCCTGTCAACACACTGCATTTCCTGTGGTCACCGCTTTGACCTGCACTGCCCATGCCTGATAGCCAGTGGCAGCCTGCCCCTTTCTTTTACCCCCACTATGGCTTTGCAGTGCTTTCTCCTGATCGCCTGCGAGGGGACGCACACATACCAGCCCCCTTTGCAAGCCTTCGCCAACCAGCCCCACCTCCACTCGGAGTTACTCAGAGTAGAAAGGAGTCTTGGCTCCATGCTCAGCCAGGTGGAGGAGAGATTGGGCAAGCCCAGCTCAGATGGAGACCTCTATCTGTAGATGGCACAGGGGTGCTGAACCAGGGATGGATGACAGCAAAGGGACTTCAACGGGCTTCTCAGAAGGCAAGGGAAGGCAACAACAATTTGGGGCTGCTCTGCAAACCTGCGGCTTCTGCAAGGAAATGCACAGGTGCTGGCTTCCTCCAGGCCCTGGGGTTGCTCCAAACTCACCCCTTCAACCCAGGTGCCACCCTCACTTGTCCCCTGCCCCCAAGCTTTGATTTTCCAGGCCTTTCCCAACACCTCCACCCTTCTCCCAAGCTCCCACCCTACTCCGCCTCTCCCTGACCCCGTTCTACCCCTGCCCTGCCTCTTCCCACCCAGTTCTGCCCTCCCCCAAGCTCTCCCTGACCCAGCTCCAGCCCCTCCCTCCTGCGCATGCTGGAGATGCTGGATAGAAGGGGAAGAGTTCATCTGCGTGGCCACCAGCAAATGGGAGGGGCACCAAAAATGTTAGCACCTGTGGAACCGCGTATTATACTTGTCGGGGACCCGACCTGAATGCTGCATGTGATTGCAGGCGCTTGCTGGACTCTGATGTGGAGACCCTTAACAAGAACAGCAAGAAACATGGAGGAGTGGAGGGAGATGCAAACTACAGGTGAACCTTTCTAGTCCAGCACCCTCAGGACCTGATTGATGCTGAACCAGAGAATTTGCCAAATCATGGGATGTCAATATTGTCTAGCAGCATTATCAACACTTCTGCTGGTTACTGGGCTCTGAGAAGACATTTAGGAATTAATTAGAGCTAAGCTCAGAACACTGAGAGCCAGGATCAGTGACTGTATACAAACATTATGGGACCGTGGGAAATTTGGCCAAACCCGTAAGTGGACATCCAGCTAACTAAAATTATGCTACACAACGGATGTTGCCAGACAAGAGAGTGCCGGACTAGAGAGGTTAATGAGTGGTAAAATTTAGGGATATGCAGGACAAATCAGACTCTGTTGAGAGCCACTATTTTACCTTTAAATAAGTACACGTCACTGTCTCCCCTACTGCTAATGTTTGAATTCGTGTATTTGCACTTTATATTTTTTCCTATTGATTTTCACTCAGTGGAGTTCTACATTTTGAAGCTCAAGACTATATTAATTAATTTACACCAAGAATAGAAATCACAAGAAATGTTGGACTAGAAGGGACCTTGACAGGCCATTTAGTCCAGTTCCCTGTACTTAGGTAGGACTAATTATTATCTAAACCAGTGTTTCTCAAACTGTGCTCCGCGGAGCCCCAGGGCTCTGCAAGACATCTCCAGGGGCTCCGCAAGGTTGACAAACTGGAAACATTGATAGGTACAGCACATACAATCAGTGGACCTCTAGGGCTCCGCATACATTTTTATGCATGTAAAGGGCTCCGGAGCCCAAAAAGTTTGAGAACCGCTGATCTAGACCATCACTGATAGGTGTTTGTCTAACTTGCTCTTAAAAGCCTCCAGTGATGGAGATTCCACATCTCATTAGATAATTTGTTCTAGGGCTTAACCACCCTGACAGTTAAGAATTTTTTCCTAAAGCTCATTTGCTGATATTTAAGCCCATTGCTTCTTGCCCTGTCTTCAGTGGTTAAGGAAAACAATTTATCACCTTCCTCTTAAAACAGCCTTTTATCTTCTTGGATACTGTTATCCTGGCTCCCCCTCGGTCTTCTTGTCTCCAGACAAAACAAAACTTTTTCAGTCTTTCCTCATAAGTCATTTTTCTAGACCTTTAATCACTTTTGTTGACCTCTTCTGGACTTCTTCCAATTGGTCCACTTCTTTTCTGAAATATGGTACCCAGAACTGTGCTATGGCTGACTGGTAAAAAATATTCTATTAAGGTTCCCTCAGCTATATAGCTCCATGGTGGGCTCTTGTAATAGCCATTTTGTCTGGCTGTTCAAATTCAGCCCCATCTTGCTCCTCTATACCTCCCCCCAGGAGCCTTTTCCCCTTTGCTTCACAGATCAGAGACAAAACATAACTATTGATAGTGGGGGATGGGCATAATTTAAAGCAGTGGCTCTCAACCTTTCCAGAGTGATTTGCCTTTCATATCCCCAACTTTTACCACACTTAAAAAAAACCTCTTGTTTACAAAATTCAGACATGAAAATGCAAAAATGTCACACTACAGCATTGAGGACAAATTGCTGACTTGCTTATTTGTACCATATAATTATAAGATAAATCAACTGGAATATAAGTATTGTACTTACATTCCAGTGTGCAGCATATAAAGCAGGATGTGCTGATGTAGCCCTTGAAGACCTCTGCATAACTCCAGGGGTACGCGAACGACTGGTTGAAAGCTTCTGGTGGTATGCAGCAAGGTATCACATCTTCTGACAATGAACAATGCCAGGTGCCCCAGAAGGAATGAATCAAGTGATCAATCCCCTGTTGCCCATTCCCAGCTTCTGGCAAACAGAGGCTAGGGACACCGTTCCTGCCCATCCTGGCTAATAACCAGTTCCATGAATTTGTCTAGTTCTTTTTTGAACCCTGTTATAGTTTTGGCCTTCACAACATCCTTTGGCAAGGAGTTCCACAAGCTGACTGTGTGAAGAAATACTTCCTTTTGTTTT